TGCAGTCACACCATGCACATCTTGTGTGACACACACCCCTGTTACCAGGGTACGTGTAACTCCGTTACAACACGTTCTACCAATGTTCCGTGCACTTTGCACAGAAAAAGCTATGAATCTCACACTTCACGCGAGCAATTTATGAAAATCAGGTTCGTGCGTTCAAGCCAGGAGCTGATCAGTGAGCCTCTCACAGAAAACGATACTGTTATCTCGCTCTGCTGTGTTAACAGTTTAGATATCTTAGAAATAATTATGGTTATACTAGCACTAAATACATGCGTCTTAATATCTCTCTTAAGAAAATTGTCTTTCTATTATGAAGTGCGCCTAGCAATCTAGGTGCTCTCCTTTCCGTGTTCTGTTATTTTTATAATATATTTGTGTGCTTATGAATGCTCACAAATCCTCCGATTGTTATGTTTACCTCGTACAACTGTACCGTGTTGTATTAAACACAATGTGTAAGGGCTGTGTAAAGGTCAAATACACAAAATTGAAGTTACGTTACCTCGATACAGTCTTCATTCCGCGCTCACCTAAGAAAACGAGAATAGTCTCGTTACATGCAGGACACAGCCTCCTATTCGAGGGGGCGTGGAAGTTAGAGACTCTACTGTGTCGAAGAGGATGGCCTTCATCAGGGTGGGGAGAAAGAGTGAAATTCTTAGCTTCTGAACAGCGCAGTGGTATTTGAAGACGGAAGTACCAGCTCTTTAACAGAATAGACAGAAAGGTTTATTGCGAGGTTGTCGTGTCTCAGTAGCCTGTCCTTGCCCACTGGAAAATGAACGATATTTATTGCTTTCTTTCCGGAGTCAATGAGACCCAGCACTCGATGGAGCAACGCTCTGTAAGCGTAGTGGGCTTACGTCCTATTGAGAAGTCCTGTGGCGTCGTCCACTTACGTACGACACGCGACTATTGAAGACAATGAGCGTACCGATTGCAATTACTGTATCTGTGCGCCACCGACGGGGCAATTATTGGGGTCAAAATTTTTGACTGAAAGTGATAGTCTGAATAAAAGCTGAACGACTATCATATTCAAGAGGTGACAGATTTTTGCTAAAAATGACTCCCTTCATATGTTATACATGTATTCTCAAAATTTCTTTTCGCAATGGCTGGTGCTGCAAATGTAGCAGAGGAGTCGCTATCAGAGTATCTGACCCGCTTTTGGCGCGCAAATGCATCTATCTTTATGCGTTGGTTCCTATCACTACCGTACGCTGGTCAACTCTCGATTTTGCGAAACGCATCGCCCGATATTCCGCTGTCGTATGATCCCAAGGAGTCGCGCCCGGAGGCCACGCAACTTCTGACGCCGGAACTAACGATCAGGGCGTTACTGGAAGAAAATGGCAAGGTATTGCTGCGGCTTATGAATGCACGTGCCACTAGAACTGATCAGTGTAGCCGCCACGACTTGCTGTACCTTGCGTCGCTGCGTGCTTCTGGTGTTATGCCTACGTTCTCAGGCGATACGTTCATGCATGTCTCCTTGGCATTTATTGATTTAGCAGATCCGGAGTATAAAGTGCAGTCTCTTTTGCCTTCAGCATCTCGTGAAGTTATTGAAGAAAAAAAGGGATTGATCAAACAGGGTAAACTCATGGAAGCGGACGTATGGCTTACGTTGCAGATGCGGCAACAAGTGATTTTGACGTTGCTTACAAATGTGGCACATACGTTCGAAAGTATGTTCCTGAAACAAAACATGATTGGAGACGTCAGTGAAGCTAAAGTTGGCTGTCGATTTTGTGGTGCGTCGACGCGGAAGATTGAAAGTGCAGAGAGCGCTTCAACCTTGCTACAGTGTTCCTGCGAAACAGCGTTTTACTGCTGTAAAGATCATCAAAAAGAAGACTGGATGAATCACAAAACTCTCTGTAAGAGCATACGTAAGGACGCTAATAGTGCGAAGAGTGTGGAAGCGAAGTAATAATCGCGCGGCCTGAAATTAAAATATGTAGTTTCTGTTTCATTGCAGCCTTAAGATATGGATTGCAATTTGTGACTCATGATTTATATAGACAGCATTTTTTATCATTTTACAAGACAATAAACAATAATTTATTGAAGTTGTGAGCCATTAAAACTTGGTGAGTAAATTACGATTAACAAAAAAGTTGTGCGACGTCATGTGTCGAGAATCGTGAAGTGCTTCTATCTTAATTTAAAATTCTTATGCATCATAGATGTACCCTTTAAATGAGCATCAATGAAAATATGAGATACTGGACTGCTAGTGCTAGCTTCATGTCCAAAGAAGCGACATTGACAGACTGAACTCAAAGTCAGGAGGAGACTTGTTCCATGCCATATGATGTGGACGTGCTAAAGCTCGCGCTTGTCGTACATAACGACATACATTGCTATCAATCTTGTCATCCAACGATCGCACTTCGACTTTATGCGAAACGTAGTTCGTTATCAGGTTCGTGCACTAGTGAGCGGGAAAGATCATTCTAACGAATAAAAGTTGACAAAACATTATAATGGAGTTATATTGTGACAAAGGGTCGAGTTTGTAAATCAATAACTTGCAAGATTATAGTCACGAATCGTATGTGCACACTTTCACATTATCATGCGCATGCCGAAGTGCGCGATGTCGTTGCACGTGTGCTAGTTGATGGCATATAAGCGTCGACGACAGGCGAGAGACACAGCATGTCGTCATCGTTACTCGTAATGGTGCAGAAGAGCGCTAAAAGGACTGATTACAAAGGTAATTAATTATGCCCAGCCTGTCGCCCCAACCCACAGTCTGCTCATCCGAACGATTACTGCAGTATCGTTTCTAATCATAGCCCAAGACCGGGTGACGATAAGGTTTAAAACAACGTTTCAATTGGCTAAATTCTATCCCAGTTTGCTTCATCATGTGTCAAGTTGTGCTGCATACGCAAGGGTTGGGGTTGTCTATCTTTTTCATGCTGCTGTAAATGTCAAATCGCGACCACTGCTAACCTTCCCTTCGTAAGCACGAGCGTGGACTTTTGCGTGCTCCCTACGCCTTTTACGAGCGAGTCTCGGATATTGACAAGTGATTATTGGGCTATTGAGTACGGGGAAATATTAGATTATAACTTGACGAGTGAAGAAATTTATCTTGACATTACGAGACAACAGCCATGGAAGTCGGTGCCCCTGTGTGGGTATTGGACCGCGAGATTTGGCATGAGGCAGTTGTTAACGCGCCTGCAGATAAATCAACAGGACTTGTAGACTGCATTATTGAACCTGAATTAGATGACGAACACCTTGCAATTTCTGAAGGTGACGACGTTGTGTCTGACACGAAGAAGGGATTGACACCACAACGGCGCGTTTCACGACAAAATTCCATGCGACGGTCGGTATCAATTCAAGCAGAGTTCGTACTACCTCGCAGTCAAGGAGAGCACTACCACGCGGTACAGGATCTGACAAAGCTCGTGCATCTCCACGAACCTGCAATTCTACATGTGCTCAAACGGCGATTTTTTCATGGAGAGATTTATACTAGTACAGGACAGATTCTTGTGGCGATGAATCCATTTCGACGGCTGTCCATGTACTCGGATGATATTAAAGAGCGTTACTATGAACTTGGTGGGAATACAGAAGCAAACAAATGTAATATTCCTCCTCATGTGTACTCAGTCGCCGATCAAGCTTTTCGAACGATGCTGATACCACAATCGAATAATAAAAAGACAGATCAGACTATCTTGGTGAGTGGCGAGAGTGGTGCTGGGAAGACAGAGACCACAAAGTTGATCATGAATTATTTGGCCTTTGTCTCCACCAAGCGCTCGCGGCGTCCAATTTGCTCAAATAATGGCGATCAGACAACAATTCATGACCGTGTTCTGGAATCAAACCCAATTTTAGAGGCGTTTGGCAATGCGAGAACTACGCGAAATAACAACTCGAGTCGCTTTGGTAAGTTCATTAAGCTTGGATTTACTTGTTCAGGCGAGATGTTAGGCGCATCTATCTCCACATATTTGCTGGAGCGCGTTCGCTTAGTCTCTCAAGGAAAGGGCGAGCGCAACTATCATGTGTTTTACGAAATGTGTAGTGGTAGCTCGGCTTCTGAACGTCAGGAATTGGCATTGCGAGATGTGCAGGAATATGCGTACTTAAATCAATCTGAATGTTATGAGCGTCTCGATGGTGTTGATGATGCCGAGTCGTATCACGTAACACGACGAGCCATGTCAAGTATTGGGATGAAACCGGATGAACAGCTGAATGTGATGAAAATCGTTTCGGCAGTGCTTCATCTGGGTAACGTATGTTTCACTACTGCTACACATAATGGTGGAAAGGATGACGCCTCAGTGGTGAATGTGGAAGAATGTGGGGATAATATCTCGGCCATTTGTGCGCTTCTTGGTGTAGAAGAGGAGGTTTTGCGCAATACTTTATGTACTAAGAAAATTAAGGCTGGGGCCGAGTTCATCACGACTTGTTTACCAGTGGCACAAGCACTTTCCACGCGAGATTCTGTGGTCAAGACGCTATATTCTAATCTATTTAACTGGCTCGTGGACCGTATTAATAGGAGTATCGAGTACAAGGAAGAAGCGGGTGGTAGTCAGTTCATCGGTGTTGTAGATATCTTTGGTTTTGAGATTTTTGATAAGAATCGTCTGGAGCAACTGTGTATCAATTATGCAAACGAGAAGCTACAGCAATTGTTTGGCAGGTTTGTGTTTCGAATGGAGCAGGACCAGTATGTTGCCGAGGAAATCCCGTGGCAATTTGTTGACTATCCCAACAATGATGTTTGTGTGGCACTTATTGAAAAGCGACATACTGGTGTGTTTTCGATATTGGACGAGCAGTGTCTGATCCCGCGCGGAAATGATGAAAAGCTGGCGAACAAATACTACGAGTGTCTTGACAAGCACGAGAGCTTTTCAGTGACTAAATTGCAGCGAGCAAAGGGTCAGTTTGTGATTCACCACTATGCTGGGAACGTCTGCTACATAACAGATGGCTTTTGTGAAAAGAACAAAGACCACATGCATACAGAAGCAATGGATTTGCTGCGTACATCAAAGTTTGAATTTGTACGAGCATGCTTCGAGAACAGTGTGAATGGTGCGGACAGCTCAAGCCCAAAAAACGGTAAGGTGGATGCACGCAGCAGCGATGGAAGTCGTCGTCGATCTGGTGGCATCTTGTCATCTACTGTCGTCGCCCAGTTTAAAAGCCAGCTCAGCTTGCTATTAGAGGTGTTAAATAGCACAGAACCTCACTTTATTCGGTGCATAAAACCAAATGATCAAGCCAGCGCATCACAATTTGAACAAAAGCGTTTGCTGGAACAACTTCGTTGCAGTGGTGTTTTGGAAGCTGTAAAAATTTCTCGTAGCGGCTACCCTGTGCGTTTTCCTCATGAAGTATTTATCAAAACGTACAGCTGTATTCTATCCCAGGTACCGACTTCACAGGGACATTTGGCGAAGGAAGTGGCGCTGGAAATGGTAAATAAGCTTACGACAATGCTCAATGTAGTAACAAATGCGAAACACCCTCCTTTCCAAGTGGGAAAGACGAAGGTCTTTTGTCTTCTCGAGGCGCATCAAGCCCTAGGAGCTGCTCGATCAAAAGCTCTGTATAAGTCCGTGATAACATTACAGCGGTATTGTCTTGGGTACTCAAAGCGGTCTCGATATCAGCGAAAGCGTCGATCCAGTATCCGGATTCAGACGACTTGGCGGTCATGGTCGTGCTGGCACTGGTACCAAGGTTTTATTCGTCGAAAACGAGCTGCAGTGAAGCTGCAATGCACAATACGTGGATTTTTAGCTCGGCGGCAACTTAAGCGAATCCACGCAGTTACTATTATCCAATCGTTTGTTCGTGGGTGGCTTGTTCGGCGTGAATATTCCGCCAATACATTGAGTTTTGAGCATGACGTGTCGTACGTGGGCACATTGGACGATCGCAGCACCTCACCGAGTTCAGTCTCTCTCTCTGAGTCCATTTCAAAGGATCGAAAGAATACGACCATTTCGTTCCAGAGCTCAGTGTGCACTAGTGAGTACTCTGACACGGCCAGCATCCAAAGCGAATCTCGAACATCCTCACGGAAAAAGCAGCTTGAAGAGTATGAGCCTCCTATGCGGATCCAAAATGAGTACGAAATTGTCTGGGAGTGTGGTCTTTTAGGCTTGTACTTTGAAAGCGATCCTGTCTCCGGGATGCCAATTGTGCGTCGTGTTCACGAAAGTTTAAGCAACTGTGCTGATATTTTTGAGGTTTCGCGAGGTGACGTGCTTCTTGCTGTCGGAAAAGTGAAGGTGAAAAAAGGCGACATTCGTCGTATTTTGACGCTTTTGCAAGAAGTCCAGAAGCCAGTGCGTCTGCATTTCTTTCGTAATCCGACCGAATCGTTTCGTCTTCGATCTGGATCGATTGAACTCTTGGGAGAAGAAGATTACGAAGTTTTATGGAAGGAAGGTGTGCCACTTGGTCTAGGCTTCCGGCCCGACCCAAACACTGGATATCCATGTGTGCTGCAATCCCAAGGCAATCAGCAGCTGCCTGGCATGTTTAATGTGCGTGCAGGTGATCATTTGGTCTTTATAAACGAATTTTCGACCCAAGGCGTGCGTTTTCAAAAGGTGATTGACATTTTAGAGAGCGGACCTCGACCTGCTGTGCTGCGCTTCCGTCATACGGATGTTGTGGAAGACCTGAATCAGCAGCTTGACCAGACAATTTCGCTAAATACTTCCGTAATGTCGAACCCGCAGGATGATTCAAATTCGTTGGGAATGTCACGCCTGATGCGTCCGACACGTGTGAGTATGAATCCAAAGCATGATCATTCGCTGTACTACATAACTTGGAAAGAAGAGGACGGCCCGCTCGGGATAGTCGTCAAGCAGGAAAGCACTAGTTTTCATCCTCGTGTAATTAATGTCAAAAGCGAGGGAGCCGTAACGCGCGAATCACAAAAGAATCGTGTGGAGATTGGTGACGTTTTGCTGAGTATCAACAATAACAACATCAGCAAGATGGGTTTTGGGGCAGCAATGAAGCTGCTTCAAACAGGACCTAAGCCGCTTCTTCTAATGTTTCAGCGTCCAAGAACGTCTTTGGATCTATCGGCAAGGACCTGCAACTTGTAGAAACTATATATCAGTTTTGAAATAGCAAACGATTATGACAAGTTCCAATCTCACGACGGTCGCCACCCCACATGACGTGCCGCACGCCTTCGAGAACCTAACGTAAGGACTGTATTTTCGTAGTGGAACATTTACGTTGCGGTCTCCGTCAATCTTGACCGCCTTGAAGTGTAGGTTTGTTTTAAGAAAGCCGAGTATTCAGTAATCCTACTCTGTTCACAATATCTCAGTATAATGGTTATTATTTACTGACAGTAGTAATACTTTACTAAGCTAAAATCTTCAATATTACTCTTTGTTTACCTGGCGAAGATGAGCCAAAATGCCATCAATGTCATCAACATGGTCTGTGATAAAGTGACGTCCCTCACGTTCTACTACTTCACCCCTCTCGTTAAAAAAAATCAGCGTCGGGACTGTCTTGATGCCAAACTTTTCGCACAGCTCGAGCTTGAGATCACGGCGCTTGTATGGCAGTGCGATCCAAGGCATTTCATCGTAATACTCTGTGAACTTTGCTTCTTCCTTGTCGGACGATATGAAGATAATTTCAACGTCATCATGGCCAGCCTTCTTAATATTGTTGTATACAATGTCCAGAAGAGGCGTGAACTTTCGGCATGGTGGGCAGTAGGAACCGCTAAAGTAAAAGCCGATGATTTTCTTGCCATCTAGCGCTTGTGAGGTTGACACTACTTCGCCGCTTTTAAGCATGAGTTCGTTCTGCAACAAGGAATCCATTACGTAGGATCTGTCGGGTAAACAACTGAGCGACTGGTAATCTAATGTGAAAATGTCAACGATAGAAGCGTCTTCAGGGATAAGATATGACAACTTTTGGTGTACAGACATAATTGGGTTAATCACACCAGTTACATTTATATTTGCAAGTAACACATACTTGCACTTATTCCACGCTACAACATATGCATAAAAGAGTCGCCATAACGCGTATGCTTCTTTGTCCTCTCTTCATCGCCAAAAATCGTCGCTACTACTTTCGCTACCGCTTAGCACATAATTCCATTGCCATGTTATGACGTGACGCAGCACAAAATTGCACGCTCTTTAACAGTAATAGAATCCACCCCATGTTCGACCGAAGAAGCAGCTTGGACCATAGATGGAGCGACCAAAAGAGTTCCAATATCCGATCGGATAGCGCCAGCCGTAACGGAATCCTCCACGGTACGGATAAGTGTAACGCCACCGGTACGTGATTCCACCCGTCGGAATAAATCCACCACCGCCGCTGACAAACTGCTCCAACTGCTTGCTATTCGATGGCACGGGCTCTTTTTCATCAATCAAAGTCACACCTGGCGGGAGTTGCTCCGCAAGGTTGTTCTCTTTGGCTGCTGGGTCGTTCTCTTTAGTCGCAACCGTTGTGGAGTCATCAGCTTGAGCGCAGCTCAGCATAGCTACTAGCACAACCATCAAAAGAGTAACAAAACGCTTAATCATGGTAACAGATATTCTTCGGTTTGAGTGGACTGAGCAAAATGCCGAATGACCTTGATTCACACACTTGCTATTCCCCGACAAGGCAGTTGGAAATTAGTTTGCATTGTAGAAGCAGATTCCTGGGACCCGCAAAGAAAAAAGGTGGTCAGACATTTGATGTCAGTACGTACGCCGCCACTCTCGTCGCAGACGCCATGTACACTTTCGTTTGTACAGTTGGGTGAGATCTCGGAACTACTTAAAATTATCTACTAGATTGTCTTCCCTAACCAGCCTCAGACCTTGAACATCAATCAGTGTGCGTCAATTGGCCGCAATTCCATGTCTGATTATGATTTTATCTACTATATACTACATATATTGTAGTTATGTGTGGCTGTACATAACCTTTAACATGGCGCGGAACTGACTGACGCTGTTGTTGCTGATATCGAAAATGTTGTTGCTTTGCGAGATGCGGTGAAAGAGGAGTACAAAGACAGTCATTCCGCAGGGATTGCTGCGTCCAACCTCACAGGGTTCGACGCGAACGGTGTGACGATGGATTTGCAGGCTTCGTTGGCAGCGATAGATGAGGCAAAACACTTCTCGTGCGAGTACGTCACACAAAACCACAATGCGCTTTGACTCACGCATTGTGGTTTTGCCGGCGTGGCGTGATGTTGACCTGCTGCAGTACGCGAAGTTAATGAACTGGGTTGTTGATTCTGGTCTACGCAAGATCAAGCGGCATAAGACACCAGTGGCCAAACTTGTTAAGGAGCAGTACTTCTATAGTAGCGGCAGTTTGCGCGGGTTCTGTAAGAACGGAGCTCGCTTGAAGAGCGTGTATTGAGAGACTGCTGTGCCGTGGGAATTGATCAAGCGTTTGAGTTGGTGTACGACTATGGTGGGGGACAAAGCAAGAGCCAATTGGATCGTTTCCAGCGTCACTACGTCACTGACTGCAACCGAGAAGTGGAATACCATGACAGTCGATGGGAAGCTATCTGTGGATTTTGGATATGTGCTGAGCCAGTTGGGGT